CACAACTGCATTTTCCAATCGAGCCCCTAAAAGGCACCGGCCAGAGCAGAGACACCGCTTCCCCAATGTGCCACTTCTCCTTCCACACCCCAGCAGCCTGTTTGCTTTTGCACAACTGCGTGACACTGTTGACTCATGGACCATGGTGCCCATCACCCCATCCTCTGGTTCCCCACGGCTGCTGCCTGGCTGGTCACTCACCCGGTGTTCACACGGTCAGTTGGTCCTACCACACAGGGCACAACACGTGCCCTGTTTTTTTTAGACCAGCTTTCCAATTTGTCACAATCTTCAATAATTAGTCTCTCCTCTAAAATGTTTCCAGTCCCTCCCAGCTCAGTGTCACCTACAAATTCAGTACGTGCTTCCCTACTCCATCACCCGCTAATGAAAACATGGGCTGACAGGCACTGACCCTCCCCACTCCCTACACCCTCTGGTTTAAACATTGATAAATATTGAGGATGTTGTTTTTGGAAGCCAGCGGTGAAGCCAAAGGCATGTCCCTGACCACGAGATGTTCTTCACCATGACCAAAATTCCAAAACATCTTTCAAAACAGGGGAAAGCAGAGGAGAGCGAGCTACCGGAATTTCTCACCGGGGCAAAATAGTCTCTTTTTCCCACACAAGCTCAGACATTTTGGCTACAGTTTTCCTATAGAAATACGTCAGCCGGTGGTCACTTTGCAGGGACAATTTCCCTTCCCAAGGTTAAATGGGCAACGTTAATGCTGAGGAGTAAAATCACCCGCCTATGATATGGAACTGGAAAATGAACTTTTGGCCTGTTCTTTTCATCAAAACTATGTACTTTTAAGCACAGTTACCAACAGGTTCTGCCATAGATAGCCCCAAACTCTCCTCTCCCAAATCTGTCTCCAAAGGCAAGTGGCCCCCCTTTGCAGTACCACTTCTCTGCAGCAAAGTCCTTGTCTGAAGAGCTTCCTCTGCTCTTCTGCAAAAAGATTTTCCTGCCTGTGCCTGCTGTGTCGATAGAGAAATGAAAGAGGCTTGAGAAGGACCTGCCCTGTAATAAAACTTCATAAAATGGGAATCTGAAACTCTGGGAAGCCCAGAGGTTTCATTGTGAGACCACGGAGAGCACAGACCTGAAGCAAGACGGGGTTTTGCTAGAACAGTGCGGATGCTGACATAGCACACAGGACTTTATCTGGCTGATGTGACTCTGAGTAAGAAGGTTATTTTCCCTTCTTATCATCTCACAGTTCTTAAGTGACATAAAGGGGTGGTTTACAACAACTCCAGGTGCCATACTTAAGTCTTATGTGGCTTCTCTTGGGGTCTTAATTCTCTTGCTGCTCTTACCAAGTTAATGACTATTTCACAGTGACTCAGCCATCTCTGAGCCCTCCCCTCCCCGAAGTGCAGGGAGAGCAGGGAAGCAGCCAAAAGCCCAGATGGTGGAAGCTTCTCAGGTAGATCTAATAATGCCCTGTGGCCAGACATGATGGGAGGAGGTGCTCCTGCCTGAACTGAGATGGGGAAAATCTCTTCCGCTCTTCTCCGGGCAGCGCGTGCCATTCTGCTGGGAGCTCGAGGGCTTCGGAGATGGTGAGACCTGACTTCAGCAGTCACCACAGGGAGCTGGCAGGCTCCGACTGTTTAAAACCTCTTTATTTCGTTCCAGGAAAGATGCAGAGGAATTGCACTGCGTGCGCATGAAAATATTTGGATTGGCTATTCCTGTGCTGCAGTGCCTGTTAGAAGGGTCTCCAAGATCAGCACTCCCTCGCCTTTCTGATTTTGCCTCTCTCCTGGTGACTCAGAGGATGCACAGGACCACATGGGGGGAGAAGATGGCCCGGGAGGCAGTGTGGGGTGGAGGGAAGACACAACCGATGGCATGGGCTCCTGCTGATCTCTGGCTTTCCTCCCTGGGAGCACAGGCATGGCACACAGCGCACAGAGGTAGCTCTGAGCCAGCCCTGAATAAGCACAGCAGCGAAAACGGGGTGCTCTGCCCAGGAAAGGCAACAAAGCTCACGCAGGGCCACGTTCTGCCTCTTCTGCCTTTCCCAGCAGCTCCTGGGAAGCTACTGGGAGAGATGGGGCAAATGCGACCGGCTGACCAGGTGGTCCTGTTCGGTGATCCAGATGGGTGGGAGATGGGTGGCAGAGAGATCCTTTCCACTGAAAGTCAGTCAACTTACTGCCCTGAGATGCTGGGACCCACAGCACTCTGCCTTCCCCTTCCCACCCCTCGTTGTTTGCCTGTGTCTGGCAGAAACGTGCCTTTGGTCCGACGTGCCGGAGAGCAGAGCCAGCTCGCTTCACCTTTTCCCCGGCACTGGCAGGGGTCTTGCTGGTCAGCCCGGGGAGGTGAATTCATCTGGTCCCTTCTCTTGAGGGACACTGAGCTACTAACGTCTTGCTCTATGTGTGCCGTTCTGGCCATCTATTTTACATTTCTCTTTATTTTTCTTCATTCCTTCAAGCAGGTGATGAGACCAACCAGAAAGGAGGAAGAAGAAGGAGCGTTACTGACCTGGGAGGAGCTGGAGGAGAAGCAAGAGAAGGCAGCAAGTGGCTTCACCAGGAAAAGACCATGGAAGGACGATGACTTCACGCTGCCTTGTTAATATAGCACTTGTTTTGCCTAAGCACACTATATTCCTGGGGGCATTAATGCGTTTTTTAAAGCCAGTTCTACTGGAGCACTGCCTCCCACACGCACCTTTGGCAAGGACACCCTCACAGTGAGAAGTTGATTTATTTTTTGATTAAGTACCTGAAGCAATGCACGTTCGTATCTGTTAGTGCTTGCACATGGTCAGTAGTTGGTATCAGCATACTTTAGTGGTGGACACGTTATCTACAGACACTGATTCTTGAAGCCTACGGTCCGTGGGGAGCTCTTAGGACAATTTTCCAAAGACTACAGTGGTGTAGGCATATGAACTAAATGGAAATGCATATGCAAGTGTTATCACAATCAAGGCTTTAGAGAGACCCACTGAAAATCTGAGAACCTGGAAAAAGGATGGGAGTAATTTCTGTCTCAGTTCCTTAAACCCTGGACAAAATTTTCGAAATGTTCAAATGATTTAGGCCCGGAAGTGCCTAAGGGCTTTTGGAAATGGGATGCAAGCTCCCATGCCACCGACGTGCTTTCAAAATGTTTTATGCTTTCAGTTGAGCTGCATTTCACTTAAACTTAGATGAAGATGGGCAGCTGCTTAAGCCACTGTAGGGCTGCAGGGAAAACTGCCCTATGAAGAAGCAGTAACTTAAAATTTGGAAAGAATTAGCATTTGCCTCCATCGTGGGTTTAACAAAAGCTAATTCTAGTCAGTGATGGCAAACTTAGAGATAACAAATCGGTGGGTTTTAATTCTTGGTATGTGATATCTCTTACCACAGCTGCCAGTGCCTTTCCCACCTCTTGATAGAGCCGGCCTGGCTGGCCTACTCCTTCCACCATCGGAAAAAACGTGTTTCCCCTGAATCTAAACCTGCTTCTATTTATGGGTGTGATGTTACAAGGCCACAGTCAAAGCATAGTTCCTAACAATAAAAAGCAAAACAAACCGAAAATAAAAAGCAAAGCAAACAAAAAAAATTATTATGCTTTCAAAAAGCATGTTTTCCTGGGGTTTGGTGTGTTTTTTTTAAACAAGGACTTGTTGAGTCATCAGTGTGTTCTTCTTCACAATTACGGAGGAAATCAAATATGCGCAGTGACCATGGGATCTTGTATTACTGTACATTTGTTTCATAGCAAATGTGATTTTAAAAGAGGAGAAAACTTAAGCTTGATGCAGTATTTAAATCTTGTTAGTCCTCCATCTCCTCAGCCCACAGGAGTATTGATGCTGTAGGCGATGGCCTTCCTCTCCCGCTGTCTCTCAGTTTTGGTTTCTTGCCACAGGAGGCAATTTTCCCTGTGTTAGTTTTATTTAGACTATAGCGAGGGAAATGATTTGGGGTCTTCAGTACCCGTCTATCCCCCACTCGGCACAGGGGCTGCGGGCATTACAAACACAAATGCTCCCTGTTGTTCAGCAAAGGGGCCGTCGCAGCCCCGCGCACCCCCCGGGCAGACGTTACACCCTGGGCAGGGTCACAGGACAGGGACGGTCCCACCCCAGGTCACATCACCTGCGGGATGGTCCTACCACAAAGTCACCTCTCCAATTCCTTCACAGCTTTCCTCCTCTGTTACTCGGACACAGATGAGATGCTGAAGTCCCCCCCATAGAGCATCCAACCCTGGTATCTTTTATAAGCCCCTACGTTGGTACAGAAACCACACGGCCGCTCCCCGCTCGCCCCTGAGGGACCGTGGGCCCTACCCAAGATTTTCCCCAAGATTTTCTATATCTCGGTGCTGATTCTCCCCGCCTGGAAGAAGCCACTCATCTCCTCAAAGCATTTGGCGAGCTGAGAATGAAGAAGTGAACCCGCTCTCCGAGGGACACAACCCGACTTGTGCACCCGCCGACACCTCACACCCCACCGCGCTCAAGAGGACCGCACCGCCAGTCCGCGTGGAACAGCCCAAACCGCCCCGTTTCAGCCCGGTTTGTGCCCGGTGCCAGGGAGTTTCCCGAACCCGCAGGGACGTGTCCGGCAGCCGCGGGAAAGCGCTTCCAGCGGACACCCCTCCTCGCAGCCCCGGGGACGAGCATCCCGCCGGCCTCTCCCTAGGGATCACCCGGATTTGGGACACACCGGCCCCTCTCGGAAATTTCTGGCCGGGACCTGGCCCCGGCCCCAAACCCAACACTCGCCCCGAGGCGGCCACGGCCGAGACCGCCGCGGGGGCCGCT